TTAACAACAACAACAACCACCACTCGGGATTCTCCAAGCTGTCTGCGCCGTCAGGATCGCTCACGACCGCTGCCAGACCGCAGCTCCGTGTGTGTCCGTTTTTGGTATTTTCACGAAAATTCTTCTGCTAGTTGGGGTTTACTCCACTTCTATGTCCTCCCCCTTCAAGGCTCAGGGGTCCAGGATTATCTTCTGTGTCTGTGTTAACTGGTTTCCCATTTCTTTGTTGAAGAGGGTCTGTGCAGTACTTCTGCCTAGTCCGCCATCTTGTCCCATTGTTCAGTAGTTCCCCACAGCAGCTTTCTGCTGAACGTGAACTTTTGTCAGCTGCCTGTCTGAAAACACACACAAGGTTCCCTCCCTCCTGCTAACCGCTTGCAATTGGAAAAGTGCAGACCAGGTGGGCAGGATGGGCTGTAAATGCCATGTTCTAGTCACATGGATTCCAGCAGCAGCAGGCAGCCTGAGAAAACGGTGTGAGGTCCCAGCCTCAGGGGTGGCCGTTGGACTCAGCGTGCTCAGACCACCAGGGGTCAGCCAGGTAGCTCACATGCCTATACCCCACTCCCTAGAAACTTGAGCTCCTGGGGTACAGACAGTTTGTTAACGTCAGTGCACCCATCATAGGCCACAGAGCAGGGTGCCAGTGACAAAGACAATGGACCCATGGGAGGGCTGGGTGTGGGGACATGCCCGAGCGTGTCTGCCACGGTCAGCAGTGGCCTCGGTGACCTGGGCCACCCGAGGTCAGCAGCATCTCCCGTCACCTGGAACATGCAATAAAGCAAAGGACTCAACAGCAGGCTCAGGGCCACACAACCCAGTGGCCCTGGACTGCGCCCCTTCCCTGAGAGAGACTCCAGTATCAAGAAAAGGGCTGGGAAAGCTCATCCACCTGCGAACTTGGCAGAAAGCACACACACACATGCACGCGCGCGCGTACACACACACACACTCATCTTCTTCCTCCTAATCTGGTCGAAAGGAGCTCTGGTAGCACAGTGGCTAAGACACTTGCCTGCTCACCAGACGGCTGGCGGTTCAACCCCACCAGCCACTCCTCGGAAGGAAGGTTGGGCAATCCTACTTCCGTAGTGATACTGCCTCGGAAACCCAAGGAGGGGTCGCTATGAGTCAGGGCCGACTCGATGGCAAATAACAACAACAATCTGGTCGCAAGAGAGCAAGGGAGCTGGTGAGGACCCCGAGAGCACGTTTCCACTGGAACAAGCCTCCACCTATCTCCAGGTGGCGCCCTTGACCCTGAGAAAGGACTGGGCGCATTGCCCACTCCTTCCAGAGCATGCTGGCTGCGTGTGGGCCATGTCTGGTCATGTGTGTGGACCATGACTGTGCCATGGGGGATCCCAGGGGCCTGAGGTTCCCTGGCTAGTTCCTGGGGTCATGAGGTCAGCCCCGATACCAGCTGGTTTGAATCCAAGGCCAGATTCCTGTTTTCCTCCCTTTGTGATGAAAGCCGTCAACGTAGCAAATACCCCCGGGAACTACTAAACATTGACAAGATGCAGCCATCGAGCTGGAAGTTCCAGCAGGAGGTAGAAGAAAGGACAAGTGTGTCCCGGGGGCCACAGAAGCAGCAGGTGTCAGGGCCAAGAGGCTCCCCCAAACTGCCTGCCGCTCTGCTGCTCCCCAGCACATGGGAAAAGCTTGCTGTTCAGACCCTCTCTGTGCCCACGTCCTTCCTGGGGAGTGAGGAGGAAGCAGGGAAGATTCTAGGGACTGTGCAGCAGAAACACCGGCAGGCCTTCACGTGAATGCGGACAGGGCTATAGCAAGGCACAAGCAAGTGGTAGGGTGTGTGCGATGCGTGTGTGTATGTATATGTGCACATGTGTGCGTGTGTGTGCATGCGTGTGTGTGCAGGCTGACAGGCAGGATCTGAACTTCACTCTGCACAGCGGGAGATCACAAAGCTGCCCCCAGAAAGGGGGGTACAGCAGAGCGTGCGGGGGGGGGCAGGGCTCTGCAGCTCTGTGTGAACTAGACACGGGTGCCGTTGAGTCGGCTCTGACACACAGCAGCCCCACGCAGAGCAGAGCGAACCCTGCCCGCCCTGAGCCAGCCTCACAACTGTCACTGTGCTGGAGCCCGCCGTCACACCACTGCCCATCCGCCTCGTC